CATGATTCCTTCTCCTCCACCTCTTCGTTCTGTTAGAATGTGAGGCGTGCACACACGTTTCAAACCACTGGGGACTGTAATCAAACTGCAGTTGGTCTTGTAGGATCTAGCTCCCTTAGCCACTTTTTTTTTTTAGAGAGAGATTTTTGCTATAGGGCATGTGCGCTTGCCAGAGAGACAGAGAGAGAGAGAGAGAGACAGAAAGTGAGAAATCTCCCTCCCAGTGAGGATGGCCACGCTGCAATCCCTTCTCCTCTATTCTCTTCTCGGGATTTTGGACATGTACACACATGAGCCACGAGTTTTAAGCCACCAGGTCTGGGACTCAAAACGTGGTCAACTACGTGGGAGTCCAGTGATGTAACCACTACGCCATCTGCTGGTCCCAGCTTCTTTTAATTTTGATAAGAATGTTAAAAAAAATAGTAATGGGGACCAGCAGATGGCATAATGGTTACGTTGTGGGATTCCCATGTAGTCGACCATGGTTCAAGTCTTGGACTGGCAGTGTAAAACACACACACGCCGGGCATGTGTGTGTCCATGCCCAAAATCCCAAAGGGAGAAAGGAGGAAAAGGGACTGCAATGTGCTTTCTGTCTCTCTGCCTCTCTAGCAAGGACATACACCCTATAGTGAAAACTTTCTAAAAACAAAACCAAACCAAAATGACAACAGCTAGATAAGCTAACAAACTCTTTAAGGGCCGTGTGAGAAAGAAGCACAAATCCCGGCTGTTATCTGGAGACCTGCCTTGGTACTACCAGATGGTAAGCTCAACATGGTCCCAGCATCGACAATAGAGATACATTCTCAAGAAACGCTGTGCACCCAGCCTTCCCGATAGCCCGGGTGATGAGGATTATCGGAACATACACGAACATCAGTAACTCTGAGTCAACAAGTCTTTTTAAAGAGTTGATATCTGAATGTAAAAGCAATTTAGGAACACTTTAGCGGTCAGTCAGCAGCGAGGTTGTCCTGGACCCAGTGGCTTTGAAAAATACACTGCGTGTGTATGTGTGCGTGCTTGCCCACAATCTTGAAATGAGGGAGAAATGGAGGGGAAGGGACAGTGGCATGGCCATTCCTACTGCAGTTTGCTTTCTCCCTTTTCCTAGCTCTCTCTCCAGCAAGCGCTCTATAGCAAATTAAAAATAAAACAATAACAATGCTTTAGGGCCAGCCCCTCAGCCTAGTGGTCGAGGGAGCCAGCTCTCACATAGCCAACCACACGGTTTGAAACTGCG